CCCTGTTATTATTATAATCTGAGGGCAAAAATTGGAAGAAATCTAGCTTCTGCTTTCCAAAATTCTCAAAATTTTTGCCTGCGGCGCTAAAAGTAGGGTATTTAAATATTTAAATACCAATTTTACATCTTGAAACGGCTCAAAAAATATCGGTTCATTATCTGGAGCTCAGATCTCAAGTTATCCTCCAAATTACCTGATATCCCCGGAATCAATTTATAAATACTGATAGCCCTTTATCCTCCGTTATCTCCCTAACTCACTCGACATCCTTTAGTAATCTCATGGGATCTTTTTAAATTTACTTGATCGCTCCAAATTACATGATAATCTGCGTAATCCCCAGTCACTTCGTTAACCCCCTTGATCGTTCTAAATCCTCTGATATCCTTCATAATCCCTCTAAATCCTTTATCTCTCTCCAAAACATTACTCATCCAACTTGCATGTACCTCAAACTTAATTATGACTCGCTAACTTATAGTCTTATAGTAATACATCAATTTTTAACTGAAAAATGGCTAATACTTAATTAAAAAAATTTTTTTCCCAATTTTGCGTTCTTGCGTTTTGCGTCTTGCGTTAAATTTTGGCCTTGCGTTGCGTTTTGCGTCTTGCGTTTTTTGAGATTGTCTCTTGCGCTCACCCCTGATAGGAAATTACGTTTCATGAAATTCTTTTGCGCCCGCTCTTGTTTGTGAGGGATGAAAAATGAGGAAAAATGCGCGTCGCTGGTCTAGTTTATGCGTCCAATGAACTTTTATGAGTTCAATGAAAAGTTTGAGTCCAATCAACAAAAAATTGGATTTTTCTTAGTATTGTAAAGTTGGGGTATGGTTCCGAAGCATTTCTTCATGTTTGGGACCTAAGCCCACTGGGTTTGGGACCATTTCTTGTCCTATACCTCGAAATTTCGGAAAGTTATAATTGTTTTTCCGAAATTTTTAAAAATTGGCCACAACTTTCCGAAATTTCGAGGTATAGGACAAGAAATGGTCCCAAACATGAAGAAATGCTTCGGAACCATACCCTAACTTTGCAATACTAAGAAAAATCCAATTTTTTGTTGATCGGACTCATAAACTTTTCATTGGACTCATAAAGGTCCATTGAACGCATAAACTATACCAGCGCCAAATGCGCTACTAAACCGAAATATTGCGGCACTGGAAAAATTTCGACCGGAAAGGAATCTGAATCTTAAATGTTTAATATTTGATAAATTAAAAAACAATTTTAAAGATATAAAGGCAATTATGAAAAATTCTATTCGAATCCTTCGTTCTGTTTTGATTATTTTCTTAGTTATTATTTTTGGATGGTTAATTTCTTCTATTGGAAGAAATTATGTATTGACTATAATAATATACATTACCTCTAATTTGATTAGCTTATTTATTTCAAAATCTAATCAACAATTTTCTATAATTATCAGCAATATTCTGAGTATGTCAGCTGTGATTATAACTTGTATTTACATAATTACAGCTGGAATTAATGCCATAATTTTGGTCATTTGCAAGTATATAAATTTTAAATATAAAACTATTTAAAATAATTAAACATTATGCCTGTTTTTATCCATAAAGCTTCAATTTTTCAATCTAAATTTTTTTTATAGCTCAGAATACAGAAATGCATATAAATCAGTATTTGGCAAATTAATTCCGAAGAATAAAGTATCACCAAATCAGCCATTGTTTATTAAAAGTGATAAGGGAAAAAATAAAAATAACAATATAAATAATCAACAAACTTGAATTTAAACAATTTTTCTAAATCATGACAAAATTTAGTTAAAAAGTAGTGTTATTCAAACGCGATTTTTCGGTATCGGTATCGGTAATTTCGCAAAATACCGATACCGAAAAAATACCGATTTTTTAAAAATTGTTCGGTACCGTATTCGGTATCAGTATTTCGGTAAAAATACCGCGGTATTACCGAAAAATACCGCGGTAATACCGTACCGTGAATAACACTAGTAAAAAGGGTTATACGACACTTGGGGACGGACTTTTGCGGACCGACATTTGAGGATGGACATTTGAGGATTGCGGACCGACATTTGGGGATCGACATTTGAGGATCGAATTTGAGGAATCGACATTTGAGGACCGATATTTGGGGATCGCCATTTGAGTATAAGAATATTTGTATCTTAAAACAGAAATTATCACAAATTATGTACTATGGTGAAGTTGTTGCACAAGCGGGGGAAGTTGACTTGTCGGCGGGGGATGCTGTTTAAACGACGGGGGAAGTTGTTCAGACAATGGGGGAAGTTGTTCCGTAAACGGGGGAAGTTGTTCAGACAACGGGGGAAGTTGTTTCATAAACGGGGGATGTTGTTCCGACAACGGGGGAAGTTGTTCAGACAACGAGGAATGTTGTTCCGACAACGGGGGAAGTTGTTCAGACACGGGGGAAGTTGTATAAACGGGGGATGTTGTTCCGACAACGGGGGAAGTTGTTCAGACAACGAGGAATGTTGTTCCGACAACGGGGGAAGTTGTTCAGACACGGGGGATGTTGTTCAGTCACCGCGGGAAGTTGTTCCGTCAATGGCAAGAATTTTTTCGTCAATGGTGGAAGGTAATCTGCGTGTTGAAATAACCTCTCCCGTCGTTGGAACAACATCCCCCATTGTCTGAACAACTTCCACCGTCGTTAAACAGCATCCCCCGCCGACAAGTCAACTTCCCCCGCTTGTGCAACAACTTCACCGTATTGCATAATTTGTGATAATTTCTGTTTTAAGATACAAATATTCTTATACTCAAATGGCAATCCCCAAATGTCGGTCCTCAAATGTCGATTCCTCAAATTCGATCCTCAAATGTCGGTCCCCAAATGTCGGTCCGCAATCCTCAAATGTCCATCCTCAAAAGTCGGTCCGCAAAAGTCCGTCCCCAAGTGTCGCACCACGGTAAAAAGTATTTGACTCGTTATTTTTATTATCATATTATTAATAGTATATGTATGTAGTATATTACATATTCAAATATATAATTTTTGTAAATTTAATAAAACTAGTTAAATATATTTTGCATAACTAAATTTAATTTATAATAACAACTGCAGAAGAGATGAGATAAATCGGCAAGGAAATTCGTTGTCAAAATTTAAAAGATTTTTAATATATCTTTTAAATTTTTGAACAATTTTTGTTATATTAGGGACAAGTCCACGTCTTAATCCAAATTCTATTCATAAAGTTAAATGAACAAGTAAATTTTCTCAAAGGTTTAAATGTTTTCTTGTATAGTTTAAGCAGCACCTAATTAGTATTGCATCCCGAAAGTTCGGGCAGATATGTGCTTACGATGAGATACTGAGATAGATGCCTCAAATAGATGCCTCTAATGCCTCAAACAAATAAAAAAGCTATTAAACATATTCAAAAAAATTTACCGAATAATTTAAAAAAACAAAAATTAATTCAAAATATCAATTATCATTAATAAATAGTAAACTTTTAAATTAGAGCCCGGACGGAGGGCTCGGTCGATATTTTTTCGATAAATACCGAAAAATACCGAATATCGAAAAATATCGAAAAAACCAAAATTTTCTCGGTCGATATTTTTTCGATAAATATCGAAGAATATCGAAACCGAAAAATATCGAAAAAAAAAAGTCTCGATATTTTTCGATTTTTCAAAAATTTTTCTATAACCAATGAATAACAGAATAGACCTAATAGTTTAATGAGATTAAGATTGATTAAATGGGATATTGGTGGATTTGGACGTATTAAATGTTGTCGCGAAAGGCGACTTATCTTTTTACCATTTTGTCCCCTGTCTTTTTATTAAAAATATTTATTTTTAATTTTCCCCTTTTAATCATGCTTATTCATAGAAAAACGCCTACTTTCTCAAATTCTTTAAAATTCACTTTGTACTTTTGTGAAAATTCTATTTTTCTTTAAAATCCGCCCCTTTTTACGACTATAAATAATTTTGGGCTTTCTCAAATATCCAGAGCTCTTCTAGAATTTAATTGTGTTTAAATAAAGTTCCTTCTTCTGTTTTTTTAAAGTTTTTATAAAAGTTTTTTATTTGTTTAAAATTAATTTTATTGTTGGGAAAGAATTTCTCAACAAATGTAAAATCAATGGACTTGTATTTAATATCGAAGGATCAAGTGGGATATAAGTGGATTTTAACTAGGGATAATGGATTTTAAGGAATTAAGGTGGATATTGAAGGACTGAGTATGTATCGAGAAATTTAGAGGTAGTAAGAGAGATATTGTGGATGTGTGAGAGCAGGAGGGATATCAAGGGATTTGTGGATTAAGAGTGATATCGGGGTATAACGAGATATCAGAGGAAAAAATCTTGGCATTTGATATCCGTTTTGATATCCATCTCTCCCAAAGTCCGTCTTGATCCCTCGAGATCCATTTTATGCACTTAATCCTCTATTAGTTATATAATATTTCCATTTTCGGCTACAGAGAAAAAAAGATTTTTAGAAGGTCATTGAGCATGTCTTCTTCCCTTTTTTGCGGCGAAGGCGAAAATTTTGTGAATTTTGGAAAGCATTAAGTCAGATTTTTCTTTAATGCACCTGGTTTTATGGGACCATATATTATCTCACTCTCATATCGCTTTGGCAAACTAAAACCGTGAATATAGAAGACACCTTTCTTTTTTTCTTGCGCCGTAGGCGAAAATTTTTTGAATTTCCAATGGGCAAGAAGCAAAAATGCATCCTTTTTGGCGCAAAAATTCAAATGTTTGTCGAAAATGACGTTCGATATTTTTTTCGATTTTTTGTAATTTGGTCGGTCGATTGTTTCGATTTTTAAATTTTTTCGGTCGATATTTTTTCGATAAATATCGAAAAATACCGAATATCGAAAAATATCGAAAAAATATCGTATCGAGCCGGGCTCTATTTAAAATTAATCATTAAATATTAATAATTATAAATTAGTGTCTTCAAAAACTCTCACCTATTGTTTTGCACATTTATTTTTATTTTTCATACTCAACCACTCTGTCCTGGAACAATATCACAAACTTCAACAGGAAAATACATATGTTGTAATTTATGCTGGACGCGAACACAAGGAAGATTGGGAAATCTTAAATGCTTCTTATATTGCTTAATAAAATGTTGAGCGACTGAGCGTTGCGATGTCTGAGTGCTGTGATAAGCTTGATATGGAAATCTGAAAAATTAAAATAAATTTGTTTAAAAGTTGAGTTTATTAGGTTCCTGTTTTTAACTCAATATGAGCTAAAAATTTTTTTAATTTTATATTAAAGTCAAATTTTGAAAACAAAACTATGCGATTATTTGGTAAAATTAAATTTTTATAATAATATAAAATCGAGACATAATAAAAAAAGATTCAACACACAATAAAACTGTTATATAGTTAAAAGATCTTAGATATTTCAAAGATCAATAAATCAATAACGAGTTATTTTTTTCGATTTTTTAAAATCTTCAATTTATTATTTCAGGGCATATCTTTATTGCCCACAAAATTGAAATATATTTTTGAAATTAAGTAAATCTTACTTTAAAATTTAAAAAAAAACATGAAAGATTTCGATAGTTGAAAGAGGCCCAATATATTTTTCGTTATATGTAGGAATTTTGCTTTTGGTTAGATTTACGGATAAACCGATTTGATATCGAAACAATTCCGCTTTTTTATTTTCGGGATTTCGCCCCGTTCCGCAAAGGTATTTGAAAAAAACCGGAAGACATGAGTTTGTTAACCTTTAATACCGATCAAGATGAACGCAATTGTGATTTTCAAAATGCTAAAACACAATAACAACGCAAGACTAAAAATCAAAACAAAACGCAGCGCATTACCTAAATTTAACTTAAATAATTCATTCTGATACAGCCTCTGATACAGATCTTATTTATGATAGCATCTTTGATTATCTACTTTAAATAATATATTTAATTACGTTAATTTCTGAGCCGATAAATGTGGAACTTCAATAACACAATATTCTTTTCCTCTTGGTCCAAAATGAGTAATTTTAATTATAGCTCCATTAATTCCTTTAGAAAAATCCTCATATTGTTTATCAGTAATTATTATTTTGGAATCATCAAGTCGCTGTAAAGGTATTCCCATAAAATTAGCCATATAATTAACTAAAGGAATTGGAGACAAAGTATTACGTGCCAATTCTTTTTTGTAGTCTTCAACTAAAGCATTTAAATGACAATTTGTTTGTCTAACAATACATAATTTGTCAAAATCAAGACATTTTAGGATATCGAGATTTGTTTCATTAGATAAATTTTGCATGTTTGTTCTAAAATTTAAAAGAGTTTAATTGATATAAAATCACCCCATCTTTCAAATAAATATAAATGGAAATAATTATTAAAGAGAGACTGGTTAATCAAAAAAGGGTAATTAATTGGGAAAATAAAGTAGTCAATTTAATAAATAGAAAAATATTTTTTTATCCTCGATTAGATAAAAAATCAACTGTCAGATAAAGCAAAAGGAAGCAGGCCGACGTATTCTTGATCTTGAATCCCCTTCAGTTTTTATAAGATTTAAGATTATCTCGATATAAAATTTATAAAGTTCTAATCTGTGATATAAAGACATGGAACTCGGTTTGAAAAAAAATTATAGGACGACTTAAAAACCAAATAACGAGATTTTATTTAAAAACAAAATTCGGGAGAGATGACACCTTTTAATATAAAAATAAAAATTATTTATTTTGGTAAATTGCAGGCCTGAATAAATAAAAATAATAAAAAAATGCAAAAAAAGCATCGATTTTCAGTCTGTTTTTCGCAAGGCCACACCAATTCTCCCAATAATTTAGTGGTTGGTACTCTTGACAAAATGCACATATGTACTTATGTTTTTTTGCAATAAATTATTTTCTCTCTTTTTCAATTTCTCTATTTTTCGCTGAATTTTGGTGAAGAAGGGATTAGGAGAAGGATAATAAATAAAAATGAGAGGGAGAGATTGACCGCAATTGTTGAGGAACCATCAATTAAAAGTGTATGCCTTTAATCTCTCTCGCCAGAGATTTTACTTTAAAATTAAATTTTATTGAAAAGAATGAATTAAAAATAAATAAAAATTACATAAATTTCAAACTGGGAAGATAAAAAATCCAAAATTTGGATAATTGTAGGAATGATTCACCTAGCAGCATTTAAAACGATTAGGCGGTGTTAATGAGAAAAGAGAAAACAAAATTTTTTGTCCCATTAGCTTGTTATAGAGCACCTAAAAATTTATAAGCAAGGCCAATCAAACACTTTCAGCGGACTTTGCTACTCAATTAAAAATTTTACAATTTATTATTAAGATTCACAAAAAAATTAATTGTGCGTGTGTACTCGTGTTGCTACTCTAATATTTACTAAATACCGTATAACCTGTATTAATTGCCCTCCCTCAAATAATTACCCCACTTCCATTAATTACCCCATCCAGCGATAGATTGAAACAATAATTACCCCGGCTTCCCTTCAAATACCCTAAAACACATTCAAATTTTAAACCTCATATAATTACTCTCCCTTGATTAATTACTCCCTCCAGCGAAAGGTCGAAACAATAATTACCCAGGGTAATTATTACAAGATATACGGTATCACCATTATTAGTCCTTGACCATTTTTAATCTTTATGAGAGGAGAACTAAGCAAGAAAGAACAGACTTCCTGACTTATGATGAAAGAAGACTATAGTACCAAATAAATAAATTATATAGATCTTCAGTTTTTGATGATATCCATTAAAAAATTAACGAAAATAACATTATTTAAATATCAATTAATCTTTAATTTTGTTTGAATTATTTTGCCAATAATGTGTGAAAATTACATTGTAATTATTTAATATTTTGTATTTTGTTTTGTTTATTTTATCATTTTTATATTTAAATTATTTGCAACCATGGCATACTCTTCGCCAATAAGGGCAATTTCCAGAGTCACAGTTATTAAGACAACTAGCCGGAACACAAATAGCACGACGAAAACGTAATTGTAAAGGTGGTGAATCTGCTAATTTAAATTCTATATGCTTCCTCCAAAATTATGTTTCAATTCATGGCCCTGTATAATGAACGAAAAGATCGAATTTCTATCTCGAAAACTCATCTTGATAAGCTAAATTTTTGATCGAGATCTTTTCTCACAATCAGCCAGATTTTCCACTAAATATTAAATTACCAATGTCAATTAAGTCAACATTCTCCTCTCCATCACCATTCATTCCCATATTTATTTCAGCTTTTATAACAGCCATAGAATAAAGCAAAATAATAATTAAAATTAAATAATTTTTCATTTCTATTTTAAATAAATTTTTGTAATTATTTTTATAATTTCCTTATCCTTTTATAATTTATTTTTTCCATTCTTAATTGTTAATTTTTGATATTTTAAAAATTTCAATGTTATAATTGGTCATCTTTTGTACTTTTATTAAATAAACTGTTTATTAAACTATTCGTTAACGCGCGGGATCATAAGTTTTGTAAAAGCGACCAAATCTTCACATGTTTTGACGACCTCCAATCTTGTTATTACTTTATAAATTTAAAAATCCATTCATCACGAATCTCAGAAACTTTTTTTGACCTTTAACTATAATAACTTTGTTTTTCGTTAAAAACCTTTTAAGAGATAAACAAAATTTATTTTTGGTAAAAGTTAATGAATTAATAAATGAAAGAAAAAAGAATATGTATGAGAGAATTGTTAAAAAACAAAAATTTCAAAAAAAGTTATATTCTCATTATGTGAAGTTTAAAAATTTTATTTCTTAAAAATAAATTAATTTTTAACAGATTCGTTCAAACTAATTCTTGTTCTTTCCTTTCTATTTCTCCTCTTCACTGGATATATTTCTTTTTTTATTTTGGAATTATCATTTTTTGATAAATTTCAAATTTTTTGGAATTCTTCTGAAAATTTAATAATTATTTTTGGGGAAATTATTGGGAAATAATATTAAATAGAGAGTATCATCTAGAAGCTATAGGATTAAAGTAGGATCCATAATCAACTAATGAATGAAAAATGTTTTGTGTTAAGCTGTGCTTCTAAATTTTAATTTTATATAAATTTTATGTCAGAAAAACAGAATTTTCTATAAAAATATAGGCTCTTGTCCAGTTTATGCGTCCCATGAAAGTATATGCGTCCCATCAACAAAAAATTGGATATTTCTTGGTGTTGCAAAGTTGAGGCATGGTTCCAAATAGAGTTGTACCCCGACCCCGTACCCCGAACCCCGACCCCGTTCCCGAACGATTTTTTCACGATTCTCCCCGACCCGAACCCCGCCCCGAAACATTTCGAAAACCCCGTACCACGACCATAAAAGTTTCGGGGTTATCGGGGTTTTATACCCCTAAAAATGCCATTTTTGTGAGAATTTTAAGAGAAAAATTTTAAAAATTTCCTCACAATTTACTTTGCCTTTATTATTTTTGAAAGAAAAATGAATGAAATATCAAAATTTTCTTTCATTCTTAATTAAGAGACTTGTGGTTGAGTGGCTTAGTTGTTGGTTTTAGCCTATATTTCCATTAATATAGGATTGGGTTCGGATCCATATAAGGAGAACTCTTTTGTTTTTATATTTCTTTACAAAAACAAATTATTAACGAGTTAAATTTTAATTTTAAAATATTAATTTTATTTTTAACTGATATCCCTTGAACGACCCTTAATCCTTCAAACCCCTTGTATCACCAGTAAGGGGTTCCCAACCATAACAGTTGGAAAACTATCGAGGTCCTGTTAACGGGAATCAGAGATATAAAGGAATTTGTAGTATATCGAAGAATTAAGGAGTTATAAAGGGATTTAAAGGGATATAAGGTTTAGATTAAAATGGATTTGAAAGAATTACGTGAATTTAACGGAATTAACAAGGATTTCGTGGGAGATTTGAGGATTAATCCAAGATATCTCCTGATATCCGTCCAAATACCCTTATCCGCAATACTTCAATATTCTTATTAATCACTGATATCCCTTGAAACAACAAAAATCACTCCAGATCACCTTGCACCTCTAGATATACCATTTAATCCCTAAAAATCCCGCTTAATCCCTCCATATCCACTTATATCCCAAGTTATACACTTTAATCCCTTCAAATCCCCTCTAATTTCTCCAAATCCTACTTAATTTTTGAATAAATTAGCGAAAATATACCGAGATCTGATTATTTTTGAGCATTTTTTTCTCTAAAAATTTTTTCACTAAAACCCCGTACCCCGACCCGAACCCCGGTCATATTTTGCTCCCCCGACCCGAACCCCGCCCCGAAACAATTGGAAAACCCCGTACCCCGACATACCCGCCCCCGAACGTTCGGGGTACAACCCTAGTTCCAAAGCATTTCTTCATGTTCGGGATCTACGTCCACTGGTTCTGGGACCGTTCCTTACCCTATACCTCGAAATTTCTAAAAGTTAAAATCGTTTTTCTGAAATTTTTAAAAATTGACTATAACTTTCAGAAATTTCGAAGGATAGGGTAAGGAACGGTCCCAGACCCTGTGGACGTAGATCCCGAACATGAAGAAATGCTTTGGAACCATACCCCTACTTTGCAACACCAAGAAATATCCAAATTTTTGTTGATGGGACGCATATACTTTCATGGGACGCATAAACTGGACAAGAGCCAAAATATATTCGAGTTCCAAGTATTTTTTAAAAAAATTGTGAATGTGTATAAAATATGTATAAAAGAAAATTAGTATGACCGCATTTGTCGAGTAACCCAAAAGTAGTAGTGTATATTAGATTTGGCAGATCCAGGGAAATCGCCGGATATCTGAGTCCAATAGCTAAACCAAAAATTCACATTTTATGTGTTCGGATATCATGAATTTTTCGGATACAGTTATCCGGCCTCCACCAACATTATTTCATGGAAAAACTAAATAAAAATCATCTAAAAATTTTAAAATAGAAAATCCAAAATAATTTGGACAATTAAAAGAATAATTCATCTAGCAACGTTTGATACTCTTATTGACGATTTATATAATAGGGATGAATAATTTTGAATTTTAAAAAGCGGAAGGCTAAGCGGAAGAAAATTCATCCCTGATTTATAAACAGAAAGAAAAAGATTTCACCATTATATGTAAGCGAGGCCAAGCTAGTACTGCCAGCGGGGAGGCAAGTTCGATTCCTGACCGATGCCTTTACTTTTCTAACTATCGTACTCAATTAAAATGTTTCCAATTTATTATATTAAAAATTCAAAAAGTTAATGAATGTTTTCCTTTAACAAAAATAGAATTTGACTTAATATTTATAAATATTTTGCTTTAATTTTTTGTTTATCTTCATATATTTGTCATTATAAACGTTTTATTCCTCACATCATTCTGTAAGAGCTTATCCACGATATCCTCCTGGGCAGTATGTTGACTCACGTCCAAGTGTTGCACACCATGCAGTCTCTACAGGCATTCCAGCAAGACCTTAATAAATTTAAAGTTAGTAAAAATCAGATGATAAATCGAGAGAAGATCTAGAATCCCGTGACCATTAACAAAATGACCGGGAGCTGGACAGCAAAGAATTTTCAATTCCCTTGGCCCGGATTCGGTTTTACCATTTCTAAGCTTTTATAATATCATAAAATTAATTTTAATTTATCAGAAATTTTTCGTTTAATCAAAAAAGAACGTTAAACCGAAACAGAACGTTAAAACCGGTTTGGATTGGTCCTATGAACATATTCTCACCTATAAGACCACATTCTATAACTGTATTCAAGCAAAACAAGGTGATCAAAAGAAAGAAAGCAATGAAGCTAATAGAAGACATTTTTTAATTTAATTAAGTAATTATTTTCTAAGATTTTTAATTAAATGAGAATGAATTTCTTTAATTAATTTAATCCTTATATATTAAGTAATTTATTCTTATGATTAATAAAAAAACAAGGAGGTAACTTGAAATTCGGGAAATAAAATTAAATTAGGAATAGTGGACGTCATTGAATAGTACAAGATTTTTGGCAAAAAAAAATTAATTAATTAATTATATGCAGCTAAGAATTTAATTTAAAAGTGATTATTCAATTTTTATCTATCTTTGCTATATTTTTCTTTTAAAATTTTTTAAATAAACTTTTTTAAAATAGCCTCTTATTTTAAGTAATTTGCTGAACAATTTAGTGTTTCCTAGATGGTTAATATTATTTTTTGATTTTATTGCATTAAAAAAGTAATTTCGCTATGGAGAATTTTTTTCTGAAAAACTAACTGTAAAGTGTAAAGAGGAAGTTAGAGTGGAACAATTTAAAAAAAATTTTTGAATTTTTGTATACGTCTACAAATTTTATTAATAAATTTTAAAAAATTTTCTATTTGTTTAGGGCGAGTTCGCTTTGGTTTTTCCTATTATTTTGGGGGCAAACTTTGACTGATAAGACTTAAAAAATTGCTTAACTTATCATAGAAAATATTACTGTTAAGGCTCTCGGTCTAAATTGATCAAAAATTCTCTGTCTCTATAACATAAATATTTATTTGTTCGAATCTTACCTCGACCTGGTCTCTATTATTCATTCAAACCACTAAGATTGAATTATTCATGCCTCAAATCCCATGTACTATAGGAAGCTCACTCTGATACCCTATAAAAAATAAACGTCCAGGACTACTCTTAGGATATTTACTATATATCAAAATTAATTAATCAATCAAAAATTTATTTTCTAATTTTGTATTTAATTCTAAAATTTTTATTTTCAGAATTACATCTAAGTTTATAAAAAAAAATTACATTTTTTCTATTATAAAAAATATTCAATCTTAAAAATATGTACATATTAGTAATGTATCAGACGATATTTAACATAGCATTTCTTTCATTTGTTTATTTTCCTTTAATTAGAATTTCTTTCCAATCAAAAATTTATTTGCTAAAATATTTTTTTAAATAAATCAATAATTAATTTTATAAATAATTATTTTTTATTAAATTAGTTTATAAAATTATTTTTAATACCAAATCAGTTCATTTGTTATTGAAATTAAATAATAATTAAAATTTAAATTAATTATCATGCAAAAATTAAATAATATTTAAATATTTTTAAAATATTAAAAATAAAATTGGCATAAATGCTTAGAAATACAACTTTTAAAATAGTATTCCGTCCTAAATTAATCAACAAAGAATTTTATAAATAACAATTTACTTATTATAGTACAATTGGCTGATTAGACGCTTGTTAATAATTATTTGTTATTAAAAATTAAATACATAAATAAATTAATATAAATATTGTTTTGTAATAATAATTTATTTTAAAAAATAAATTAAAATTAGACATATCAAATATACCTATTTTGTATTTAATTAAATAAATTATATCTAGATATAAAATAGGTAATAATATGAAAATTAAACAATTTCAAACGAGATATCTGATTTATTCACTGAAACAAATTTTTAAATAGAGATTTATTTAAATTTTAAAACTTATATTTAATTAATTAATTAAACAAAAGTTTATTTTAATTAAATATTAAAAATAAAAATAATTTAAAATTAATATTCTAATTCTTTGAAATATTATTTTATAGTTGTTATTCGTCAAAACGTCATTAAACAACGATTTTAACTCGATTAAGGCTTGGATCATATGATTTTGTACTAATGTAAAATAGTGAATTTTAGAATTAAATTTATTTTCAAATAATTTTCAATATTTTAAGCTATGAAATTATTTATTATTTCATGTAAACATATCTTATTTACAAAGGAATTTTATAATTATTTTGCATTAAATAACGTAATTATAAATTATAATTTAATTTTAAAAATAATTTATTTTAAAAAAGATTACTTCAATAAATTAATTAACGAGATCCATTGTGATGACATTAAATAAAAATAATTGTTAAATAATATTTTGTAAAAATTAAATTATAATATATTAAAAATTTTAATTAAAAATTTTTTTATAAGATTCACAATTGAATAATTTATTAAATTGTGTATACATATTTATTTCATTAATTCTTTCTAACGACATTTAATAATAGATATTTCTTACAATATTAAATATCGTTAGATAAGAATATATAAATTATGAATATTAATTATATTATAAATTCACTAATATTCCTTATAATTTATTAAATAGATGGTAATAAATATCTATTAGCTTAAATAAATAACAAATACATGACTGTACTCCATCTAATCATTATCTAAAATTGAATTTTAAAAATATTTTATTTTATATGAATTTTATACTAATAACTTTTTTTAATTTCATGGTTATTGTGTAATTTTTAAATAAAGTTAAAATGTAAATTTTAATAAAATATCCATTTATTTTGTAGTTTAGTATAAAAAGTTTAAGTAAAATTATAAAATTCTTATAGATTTAAGCCACACGAAATGGAGATTTTTGTAGGCATCAGTTAATAAATTCTAAAAATTAAAAGATATTTTAAATACTTGATATATTTATATATTAATAATTTAAAATAAAATTTATAATTATACCAAAAATAATAATATAAATTAAAAATTAATCGAATTTCTGTAAACACTTCAGATTTAGCTTCCACATTCAGTAAATGAAATTAAAATAGCTTTATAATTATAATAATAAATTTATAGTATCAGAAAAAATTTGTAAATTTTAAAAATTAAAAATAATTAATATAATAAATTTAATAAAAATTTAAAATCTAATAAACAGTGAGGGTTAATATTCATTAACTAACCGTTCCCAATTTATAAGTAATTTAAAAGGCTTATATATTTATAATACAAAAACACTTATCTAATAAATTTACTTGATTTTAAGAACAGTTTCTAAATTTATAAATTTATTTCTAACGAAAAGTAAATACTATATCCTTATAAAATTTATGTCCAAAATTAAATTAAAAAATTAAAATAAAGTTAAATTAAAATAGACCAATTATTTTAAATGAAGATAGGTATTTCTTTATTATAACTAAAATATTGTATTAATAATTATTATAAATATTTTACAATTTTTAGATAAAAATTCAGTTATTGACACAGCAGCATATGCAATAACCACATCATTATGTTAAAAATTGAATATGGCTAAAATATTTTTAAATTTATAGTATATTTAATTATAAATATTGAAAATTATTTATCTTATTAAACAGTTATTTTATTAAACTAGAATTAAGTAAAGTTATAATTAAAACGATAAATATTCGATAAATCTAAAAATTTGGACATTTTAAAAATTTATTAAATTTTATTAAAAATTTAATATAAATTTAAAGTTTAATATAAATTTAAAATTTTAAATTATTTATATTAAATTTATATAAAAAGTTTAATATAAATTTAATATAAATTTAAAATCATATATTATAATAAATTTATAATTAAAAATAATTAATTATTTTAAATTAATTTTTAAAATTTAATAAAAATAAATATTTGCCTTTTTAATAAAATAAAGATTGCTCTAAGAAATGTTGCACTGTCACTTAAAAGATATATTTAGATTTGGTTGAAATGCTAATATTTATGAATGATTTTATATCTGCCAATGTAACTCTTAAGATTTAATATTCTGTAATTAAATAAATATTTTTAAAAATTAAACAATTATTACAATTTTTATTTTAGTCAATAAATAACAAATTACAAAAACTTATTTAAAGTAAATTTAAAATAGTCTTATGAAATTTATTTTGATTATTTTACATTTAATTTAAAAATAAATTTAAAATATTAATGAAAATTTTATTCTTCAAATATATTCTTAATTTTTATAAATAGGTATATTTAAAAATATGTTATTTATATGCATGTGAGAAAAGAATAATGCTTAAAGAAAATTTAATATTTGTTACAAATTCCATAAATAACTACGTTGCACAACAATTAAAATATATACATATGATTTCCGTACATAAAATATTCTATTATAGAATCAAAAAATAAAATTCTGTATTAAATAAGTTTGGATTAAAAAATAAAGAAAAAATAAAAAAAATTAGACATAATTTAAATATAAGGAAATTTAAATTATTATTAAAAATTATAAATAAAAAATAAAGCTATATTAAAAACAAATTACCTACATATAAGATTCATGTATGATAAAATCCATCATAGAAGTTAGCTCAATACAGTTCAATTTTATTTAAGTAAATATTCCAAAGTATTAAAATATTTCATATAAAAATATTAAATTAAATTAATAATAAATTTTATTAATATTATTAATTAGTGTACTTAATTACAAACGAATTTATAATAGAGAGCAGAAAAAAATGTGTATAAAAACATTTAATTTTTTACAGAAATTTAAAAATATACCTATTTAATTATTAAATTTGAGCACTGAATTTAGTCAAGCATGCACTTACTAGTGTGCATATTTTATAATATTTCGCATAATTTTTATAAGTAAATGAAATTAAATTTAATCAGATAATTAAAATAGCACGATCAATTAATTATTATTTAAATGAAGATTTTTATTATTAAAGATAAAAAAAGTTTAGTGAATTACGTTACAAAGCATAGTGCTTTTGGCTCGTTATTTTAAAAATAAATAAAGAAAAATTATTTAATGTTCTATAATATAATTTTTGAAAGATAATTATTGATAATATTTAATTAATATTTATAATTATTATGTAATTTTTAAATATAAATTTACTTATTGTAAAAAGTTTAAATAAATTTATAAAAAAACAGACAAACATTCAAACCTAATGAAATGACAGTCTTTGTCAAGAATTAATAAATTTAAATATCAAGATATATTTTAATTAAATAACTCGTCAAATGTAATTGTCG